CGGACCTTCATGCTGCATTTATTCAGGCAAAACTAGTTGATCATCGAAATTGGCACAACTCCAAAGAAAGTGTTGGTGTGAGGGGCAAGGGGGTGAGCCTATAGGAGAGGGGATGTGCGTGGGCAGAGACTTCATTGGTGGCCAGGGTAGTGACGTCATACAGCTAGCCGCTTCATTCAGTAGTCGGGAGACCGGCAACAGGGCATGGATACTGTGTTGTGTGAGTCTCCGTTCCTTCTTCAACTTCGACGTCATAAGCCGCAGAATTCGCTTACAGAATTTCTGAACATGCGTCGATGACGTATGTACGAACCCATTAATAGCTAGTGAATACATAGTGATTATTACAGTGCACGAAGCAAATTATTCTGTACGAAGACATGTGGTTTTGTTGCCAAATATGGCAGTGCAGTTTTGAAACGTGTTTAAAACCATTAGAAATTTGGAAAACCTGGAATGGTTGGAGTCACGTCGTGTACCCATCAAAAGGAAAAGCTTCTTCAAAAACATTCGAAGAATCTCGGTGAGTCATTGTTGCGATGTTTCAAAAAAATATTTCCCTTAAGAGATTTGACATGTCTCGTTTCAAAACTTAGGACTCTTAATTATTGTGTGATATGATTACAAAGTGTAAATACTCTAGGCTCTGTTAAAAAAACGAACTCTTATTTAATGTTCATTATCAGCGGGTATAGGAATATTGCTGGAAGTTTGTATATGACCTTCGGCTTCGCTCGCACAGCTGCAGCGCCCGTCTTGTTAGGCACAACGCAGCACAACGCAGCACAACGTATTTTCAACTCCTGCGCAAGGGAGGTCATGTGTCTTCTTCGTGAACACTTCTGTTTACAGCATTGCCATTATCGTACCGTCGACTGAAATGGAAAGTTCAGTTTTTTTAGACGCTGTCAGAGTTACGATGTTACAATAATTAATACAGTTATTTGTAATAAATTGATTTCTCTTACTGCTTACATGGTTTTACCGGAAATTATTTTTACTTTACTAGCTTAGACATGCACATCTTTGGCGTGGTAATATTTTATTCGGGTGACGCAACAGATTTATGTTTAGATGGGAATTTATACAAAGCGTAGGCCACCATTACCGATCAAGATGGCAGTGGAACGCAGTGAGGTAATCAGGTTAGGGAATAAAACAATAACGTAACCAGTACAGTGTTTGTGATTCCACTTTTTTTTTTAAGGATTTAGAAATCGAGGCGAAAATATTGGTGGATGATTAGTTACAAGGAACCAAAAAAGAAAATTAACTACAAGCCACTTTCCATATCTTCGGAATTATAACATGTAGAAATGCAATTCCTCCAGCAAAGAGACAGCTGTTATATTGATGTGAATTTACACAGTGAGATTTCAGGTTCTCAAGGCGGAGATTATGAAGATGGATTGGATGTTGCGCCGTGTAGTCTGGTAGAAATTGGCCGACGTTTCAGAGGTGCTTGGTGCCTCGTCGCCCATGATGATGGAGGCAGTAAGTAATCTGAAACGTCGACCACATTCTTCCAGTCTACACAGAGCAACATTTCAGAAGACATCTTCATACTGATGTTTATCGTTAAAATTTTCGAAGCATTTGAAAATTATTAAATTAGAATTGTGTCTTTATTACAGTTGACAGTAATGCGAAAATAAATTTAATACAGAACTTTAGATATAAACAAGTTGAGAAATGTATACACGGAGTAGGTTTTGAGTAGTTTATCAGAATTTGACCTTTCTAAGGCGTATCTGCTTGGAGATGACGTCATCACGAAGGATTCCCCCACTAGATTGAGCGGCTGATTGGGGTCCCCCATCCTGGGATTTGCCAGGGAATGATGCTAACCTGCGAATTTTGGATGGCGGAATTCGAATCTTTATCTCCCAAAACACATGTAGGTCTTCCTATTTTAACCATGATGGGATTGTGTCAATATTTTTGTTATGAAACTCGCCTGATGGACAGACAAACATTGGAAAGGTTACATTTTTGCAACTTAAGTCGGTAACGAACCTAAATGATAAACGAATTTGTGTGTGTTATTTGATATCCTGTCACCTGTTTCCTGCTTGCGAACATGTTCGAACTAGGAACTTTGTATTTTACTACAGCAGTTGAAAAAATATTTCCGATACCTGTAGGAAGAATACAGTATCCAGGAACAGTTAGGGGAAAAACTATTTTTTCTGCAGTGTTTTGGCAGTAGCTGGGGAATGCATATTTGGCAACTAAAATTCAGCGATGTTCCTGACTGTCTACGCTAGAGTTTTTCTTAAAATTCTGTACCTTAATGAATCAATTACTCACTCACTCTGTAGTGCAGGGAATTCTTTGGAAAGTCTATTGTATACTCGGCTGGTCAAAGAATAGCTCACTTTCTGTATGGAACCCGAAGGTTCACCACCGGGTTCACAAAAGCCTGCCACTGGACTCTATCCTGAGCTAGCTGCATCCATTCACTCCATCGATTCCTATCTCCCTATCACCTTGGTCTTTTCAGTGATCATTAGTCTCCTCGCCTCAGGCCTCTCCACCAATATCTTGTAAATACCCCTCCCCAACGCGTGCCACATATCCCGCCCACCTCATCATCCTCGATTTAATTACCCTGATATCAGGTGAGGATTACAGGCCACGAAGCTCATAATTATGCAATTATATCCATAATCCGTCTCCCTCCCTTTTAGGCACAAATATCCTCCTCAACACTCTGTTCTCAGAGACCCTCAATCTGTGTTACTCCCTCAAAGTGAGAGACCAAGTTTCGCACCCATACAGTACAACTGTCAAAATTACACTTCTGTATATTTTAATCTTTAGATTTTTTGATACGAGACGTGAGGACAAAAGATTTTGGACCGAATTTAATCTGCTGTTGATTTCGCAATGATTGTAATTCTGACTTGTTAATTTTCTCCCCAATTTCTTGAATCCTATCTTATTTTTGTACGATTCATTCTGGTTCTGCCCTGAATTCTGATGCCGAAACGTGATCACATACTTTGTCTTTTCTGAATTTATTTCTAGACCAACATCTCTTACTAGGCCTTAAGAGTTTCTGTGTTACACTGTGATGTAATTATTTACCTTAAAGAGATTGGTAGCCCGTGAAGTTTGGCAGCTTCCGGTGAAACTCCACGTTTTCAAAGGTATTTTATTATTTCTACGCGGATGAATTTTCTGTCACGGGATTTTACAGTGCTTCCAACTGCTGAAATAACAATAATGGGAAGTGATATTTAGTAGCCTATACAGAAGCTTCAGACAAACGACGGAGTTTGAGTCCAGAATGGTAATATGTCTTGAATAAATTGCTTTAACGTGAACACAATTTGCAAGCGTCCGAAATGGAATTGAAACTGTCAAATAAACGTATTGTTATATGGTCATTGTCTTCGTATATCTAGCAATGTAATGCCACTCAAATGTCTGTATGAGCCAATTAGAAAGGAAGATGAGATACCGGAGATGAATTGAGCGGTTCTGGGGAAAAACGACGTAAGTCCAGTATTAAACTTTTTTGGGTAGTCAAGAAAACATTTCGAGAATCTGAATAAAAATATTTCAACATTTTTATTTCGTGTCAATGTATTCAGACGTTTCAACTTAGGAATGTAGTTCCACTATACACCATGTAGGCTGTTGGGGGAGAGCAGATATAGCTCCTACTCAATTTTGACGACGGAATTAGATTGGGACCGTGCTCTACCCCCTGGAAAGGTGGCTAGGTGGGCCCCAGGGCCTGTCTGGACGCAAGTTTCTGGCTTAATGAACACAATTTCTAAATCACGAAACAAATAAAACTTTACAGTACGTTCCTTTACCGACAGTTTTATGCGGGGGGGGGGGGGGGGGAACTGGACATTGAAAGCAAAACCAGAATTACAGCCGCTGAAATGAAATTCATTGGAAAACAGCGAAATACACTTGCGTGCCAGTTAAGGTATGAAGTGATAAAGAAAGATAAATGTATTCGTTTTATTCAAGATTATATTAGACTTTGCACGGGAAATATTATGTTGGATGAGAATCGTATGTTCTTTGTACTTGACGTTTTGGATGGTCGATTTCCGGTTCTGCAGAAGTTCGTAAGTGAATTACGAACTACAAAGTTGAGCGTGTGGGAACTAACATTAAAAGGGAGAAAATTTGATGAAATATATCACTGAAAATTCTCGATGGCAGAAACACCTGTTAAATATTGAAATTTACATTTTTGCATATTTTCTAATGTAATATGTAAAACAGTTTCGGATCGTCATTGTTTACAGTTTGTATTTACCGAAAAATGTTTCCAGTAATGTTGTGATTTCTAAGGTATTGTACATTTGCAGATTCCGAACAAAGCCCTGTTCTAGCGTTGCTCTCCTTATTATAAGTGTGAGGTCTAAAAATGATTTTGCATACGTTTTAGCACAGTAACATGTAATCGATATAAAAAATCTCGACTGCTCTGAAGTCACAGGAACTCAATTAACACAGTTCCATATTAGGATTTCCATCAGATAAGTTTCATAATCTAACCTAACCTATACTAACCTAACTTAACCTATACTAATCTAACCTAACCTATACTAACCTAACCTATACTAATCTAACCTAACCTATACTAATCTAACCTAACCTATACTAACTTAACCTATAACGATCTAACCTAACCTATACTAACCTAACCTATACTAACTTAACCTATAACAACTTAACCTATAACGATCTAACCTAACCTATACTAACCTAACCTATACTAACCTAACCCATACTAATCTAACCTAACCTATACTAACCTAACCTATACTAACCTAACCTATACTAATCTAACCTAACCTATACTAACTTAACCTATAACGATCTAACCTAACCTATACTAACCTAACCTATACTAACTTAACCTATAACAACTTAACCTATAACGATCTAACCTAACCTATACTAACCTAACCTATACTAACCTAACCCATACTAACCTAACATAACCTTATTCTGCTGTACCATTTCAGGGGTGGGAGAAGTGGAGACCAAGCTACATTGAAGGAAGCGGATCGTGGGAATCCATCCAGGGACATTCCAAGTGATCCTATCTTCAAAGATGTGTGTCTACCGTAAGTAATATCTGTTCGAGATTCCCATTTTTATGAACAGAAATGATGATTCATTGTATTCGTTCTAAAGTTTGGTAAAAATATACAATGTGGAAAGCGTAAGAGGTGAGGGGAAAGCAAGACGGATGGATGGAGACGAGAGGTCGTGATATACGTATTTTAGCTGTTACCACATTCATCTTGGAGGACGAAAGCTTACACAGAAATGTCAGTTACGAAAACAGTAGATGTGCGTTTTATCTGAAGGCCGTACCAAAATGGAGAAATGTGCTTTTAGTTATCAGTTAAGTTCCTGCTAACCAAAACAATAATTTCAGACAATTTCATGGCACAGCGTATTTATGGAATAAAAAGTATTAATAATTGTTTCTACTGGCTTATATGATGCTGTGAACTGAAAGGGAGAACCAATTTATGTTTCTTTTCATATATTATAGATCTTTTATGTGTATATACTATACATACAATCACACAGCCTAAAACGACATTCGCCAACAAGCTCTCCATAATGTGATCCTTTAAAGAAAGTGGAAAATATTATACAGCGTATGTCCTGTGACTAGTTTTCATAAAGCACGTCACCGTCAAATGCCGCAAGCTATCAAATGATAAAACCACACACGCCTCGTACTTGCAGTAGGTGTTTGAAGCGGCCTCCGTCCATTTCACGTCAGTGGGCCACACGGAATTCACTCAAAAAACGCCTTACCACGTTGGCATCGACTTTTGTCACAGCTCTTTGAAGTCTTGTCACGAGATCTTCGTTAGTCCTGGCAAGGACTACGTAAACGTTCTCCTTCAGGTGTCCCCACGGGATAGAATCCATCGGAGTTAGATCTGGCGACCGAGGAGTCCATGCAGTCAATCCTCCATGTCCAATCCACCTTCGTGGATGTGTCGCTTTCAACCACTGCCGGAAGGAGTCCCCATAGTGCGCTGGAGTCCGTCGTGCTGAGACCACAAACTTTGCCTCAAATGTTAGAGGCACATCTTCAAGTAACCCCCGTAGAACAGTTTTCAGAAAATCGCAATTTCATTGGGCAGCATTGACAGGGGAGTGATTAGACTCCAGTCACTCCCCTGCTACTCCTTGCACACGGATAATTTACTTTCTGGAGTTTAACAAGCTTCAAAGTACTTACTTAGATACTTAGGCAACCCGTTCTTCAGTGGCTTGATCATCTGCGGGTCCCAACTTTTCGTTGGCTTTGATGTATAGACATTTGGTAGGACTCCTTGGACGGGGGATCGGCCCGTCGCAAGGCCTCTACCTGTACACAGGACAGCACAACACAGAAAAACGCGGACAAACATCCATGGCTTGAGTGGGATTCGAACCCACGGTCCCAGCGACCAAGGCCCACGCCTCAGACCGCGCGGCCACAAAATTACAACAAAAAAGGAAAAAAAAAACTACATATTAAAATCTTGAATACTAATTGATAAAATTATAAGTAATTTCAAACTAAGTTATAATTGTAAAGAAATACAATCGAATAAGTTTAAATACCAATTAATTAAAAAGTTATATGAGTCACCCTCGAAGAAATGGATTTATCTGGAATTTATGCATGAAACAGTTGGAAACAAATTTAAACAAATGTGACGTAAATATAATACGCATACGTCGAAACGTGTAGCCTGTCTTCAACATTCACAATAAAGTATTTTGTTTGTGCAAAATAATATCATTAATACTGAGTTACAGTTAGTAGCTTGTTGTTACAATGAATAAATTAAATTAACGAATCTACGTAAGCAATGCTTCACTGTCCTCACGCGTAAAATACGCTTTGTATGCCCACAGAATATTATTAATGGAAGGTCTCCACAGAGTGTTCATGTCGTAGTCATTAGTAAAGTTGCGTCTGTAGAGGACGATCGTCTGGAAACAGATGTCATGAAGTACATCTTCTCGCTCGATATACCGTGAGATTTTGAACAACTCTCGTTCCACAGCTGCAAGTATGGCGTCTTCATTGGGTGGTGTCCGTGGGCGACCTGAATTCACACGTACGGAAGGTGTCTCACGGAGACGCTGTTTCGGTCGTCGAAAGACATTAGCGTCCGGATTTACGTGGACAAGGATAACGTACCGCGTATTCACCTATAACAGTACCACCGCCTCGGACTGTTGCAGGCACTGAGGGTAATGATCACGTCGAAGTTTACGTCGTGCGTGTATTCTATCGTCATCCGGTCACACCCGAGCCCTTCTGTGCCCTGTCTCGAGCACTAACAACGCTTTATGTATCGTCGTGACAAATGATGCTGATGGGAAGTGTTACCCCATTTGACGGTGGCGTGTAGCTCGAAAACTATGTGTCTCAGGGCATATGTTGTTTATTATTTTCAATTTTTTTAAACATGGAGTCGCACTGTGGAGAACTTGTGGGTGAATTGTGTTTTACCTTTTGCATAATAATAATTCAATTCAATTAAATTATTTACGTGCTTGACAACAGCCAAGCACTAAACCAGAGTACACGATAAAATATAATAAATAATTAAATTCATATCAATAATAATAAATTTAAAACATTACAAATACAAAAACAAGCAAATTAAACTAAATATATAAATGTACAATAATAATTCAATTCATTCAATAATTAAATTCAATCCATTTATTGAATAATATTTCAAAAGTAAATGGGCTAAATACGATACATAAGTAATATAATTCAATAATTCTAAATAAAAAACATTAAACAATGAAATAACAACAACAAATATGTACGCATAATTAAAAACCATCACGTGACTCAGATATGCATCGGGATTAGTTATACAGCTTTAGACAACTTTTTTACTCTGAGGATGAAGACCGACCACGTACGCAGACATCCTTGTTCATTACTAACAAGATCTGGTGGGAATAATCCGTACCAAATACAATGACTTTCCACATCCGTCGTTTGTACACGCTGAAAAACATTGTATGAACATGTTAACAATACTAAGTGGCTCTACAACTTTAAATGTAATGTTCATATTGTTTAGGATGTTTTAGTTTCATCAATATATTCTTAATTTTTAAGTTTTTATTTATAATTTCACTGTAGAACTTCTCAGTGCCTAGATGCCCAATTTATAAAGTTTCATGTGGGGAACGAAAGTATATATTTTTTAACATTGTCCAATAGAATTGATGAATAATATTGACGAATTTTTCAACAAAGATCTGTCATCATACATCATTTTAGCACTATATAATAGGCAACGTTAATTTCGCTCTCACGAGTTCGCGTATAAAGATGGCTGTCTTCTGGATTGTTGCGCCAGGGCGATTACTCGGATGATGGAGGCAGCAAGGACCTCTGAAACGTCTGCAAACTTCTACCAGATTGCGTGATGCAACAACCCAAAAGACAGCCTTCTTCATATATGCCGCCTTGAGAACCTTAAATATCACAACTAAAAGATATGTCTTCGAGTTTTGGGCAGTCGTCCATAACAAATTTGATCATAATCTGTCCGGCGGTTCTAGCTGAATCATGCGGACATGGCAAACCCTTTGTGCATTCATGTAATGCACATCGTGGAAATAACGCGTAATAACTGACTCTAACTACGTGTGTTTTCACAAACGTGGTAGGATAGGTATTTATGTTATGTATGTACATTTTAACGTAATATTTGCGTATGTAATATTTATGTTCTTTTAGGACTGTTGGAGAATTAAGTGTACTGCGTCATTTGGTTCTGTTTTGCATGGAGGTGATAATGAATTGAAATATACGTAAATTAACCTAATAATATTATTTAATGACCCCCCACTAGCTGTTATCACTTTAATAAGCTCCATCGTCTGTTTGTACGGATTTTGGAATGAAATTATTTCTGTCGTTCAGTAAGACAGAGAATTCTCTCTTGCCTGGTACGTATAAAGTTTTGTAAAAACTGTAGTTTCAAAGTATAATAGTGCTTTTAATTTACTGTTTATAGCCTCTTTAGAGAATAGTAAAGTAGGGCATGTCCAAGAATTGTATAACTGTAACATTTATGTAAATATCTATTTCCATTGCGATGGAATGGTCTAATGATTGTATTCTGCCCAATTTGTCTTAATGAATTCAAATTCTGTTTTCTTGCCCCGTATTCGGGATCTCCCAGGTTGAAATCTAGGCCCGAAGATAGGCTATCCTATGATTATTTCGTAATTTCCCTTGGTCCCGTCGTGCAAATGCTGTAAGAGTGCTTTGAAGTAGGCCACGACCACTTCCACATATTTCCAATTCAGTATTCGCTAACCATACATAATTTGAATGTGTTTAATATGATATAATAAAAACGTTTGTAAATAAGACATAAATAGTTAAATATAATAAATTTAGTTGAATTTACTTATAGAAATTTCTGATATTTGTAGTGTTTCACAAAACGGTTGTGCTTATGGCCACTTTTTTCTCATTTTGAATCACGCCTTACGAAGGTGTCATAACAGTCGAAAATGTGAATTGGCGGTTGTTTAATTTGTAGGGGTAGCTAACATTACTTTCTGAAACAGATGGTAAGCATACAGCCGGAATCCCAGCAGTTATTGTCTTATGTAACGTTTCTTCAACATTTCTCATGAATCGCTGATGTTAAGTTTGTTGTACAACTGAAATAAGAAACTTAGAAGTCGAAATTACGCGAGATTTTAGGTAGTAAGGATCTTGACAATGTTCTTCTGGTTTATGATGCCGTGTAAAATGGTCGACACAAACCACGGCGATATAATTTTTGAACGCTTCTGCGCATGTACTGTCACGTGCTCTCGTGAGCCAATCACCTTCAGACAGTTGGTGTATAAAGTATTCAGTTACTTTAAGCGTGAAGCATACGTGTATGTGCTTTCTCTGCACGCACCTTCCTACGTGTTTGTTAAGCGTCTGTTACCACTACAAGACCACAAGACGTCACAACACTAAATAGAACGATTGGCAGTCAACTGAAAGCCGAGTGCCCCGTTCTCGTGTTGCAACTTCTCCAGCAGACGTGCGTGGCGTGTGGCC